GCTCGACTACGCCGATGAAAAAGTTGGGAGAGACAGTACCGGGAAATGGATCAGCGACGTCGCCAAAAGGGCTGGATTGAAGACTTGGGGACGGCATGTGGTGGGAAAGAAAACCACATTAGCGAAAAGAGATCCCATCACAGATGCGAAGCCGGCGATGCTGAATGCAGGACTGATAAGGAAGAAGAAGCGACCAGCTGAGGAGATGAATGGGGGAGCAGTCGAGGCAAGGTCCAAAGGGTCTGGCATCACTACGCTCTCTGGAGGGCTGGTGAGGAAACGGGCGAAGGTTGCTGGCCACATAGGACCGGTGCTTACGGAAGATACTCAAAGCAATGGAAAGACCGAGCCTGGCTGACCAATGGTAATGTCACGCAAGGGCGCATTGACATTCAACCTGACGTTCACCGTTTGTCACCCGCTCAGAATAGCCGTAATAAGTTCAATATGCCAAGCAGCCTTTCTCGAGTCTAGATCCCTTCGATACCAATGAGCGCGCACAGAGAACGACAAGTGCTTGAGCACAGTCACCATTGTACATTGAGCCACTATCATTAAGGCTTATAAGCCAAACGTTCCATCTCCAAACCCTTGTCCGTTCCTCTCTGAAGCAGTCCGAGACCGAGGGGCATCTACCGCGCAGCACTTTTGCAGCACATGCTACTTTTAGGGCCCATCATCAAAACCGTTTTACATGAATTGACGTTTTCTTTATGCACTTTACCTATATCACTGATTTGCTGGTCTTCCTGCAAGCCACGCTGCTATGCGGCTAAACGTGGCGTGCAAACCTGCTCAATGAATTCTCATATATATATTCCATTATTACCAAATTTTTATCATGAGATTCGAACCGCTATAATCAGTATCTTAGTCAATGCATAGTTTCCCGCCTGCCAGACCGTTTCACATCCAGCAGCCAACTATGGCACCCTTCAGACTTCGAGACCTCCCTGGAGAACTGCGGAACAATATATACAGCAAAACCCCACTCTCTGACAAGATGACCTTGCTGAGGACCTCCCGCTCCATCAATAGCGAAGTTTCCCCGTTCTTCTACGAAGAAGCCACCTACCGAATTTTCGTCAACGTCCATCATCCTTCTTTATACACAAAGCACCCTATAACTAGACCACCTCTTCAGCACATAAAAGAGAAGATCCAGAATCTCGACGTCTATTGGGCACTCTTCGAGCCCGAAAAACGAAAGGAAGGCGACATTGAGGCGCTCAGCTGGGACCCGCTCATTAGTCGAGGACTGTGCCGTGTCTTCTTTGGATGGTGCCCAGGTGTGCCCTGGTTGCCTGTACCCTTTAGAGACAGCGACTTTGAACCATTGAAGACTCTTGCTGGTTTTGAGACCGTGGAGATCCGAGTTGGACTGAAGGCTTTGGGGCGGCCGCACAATCACCATGCACCAAAGACGAATACAGGCAACACATGCACAGATTCGGATACCTCGTGTCCCATGATGTTGCCTATGTACGACGTATTGCGGAATGGACTGGAGTCGGCGTTTGGAGTTGCAGAGCTGAGACAGAACCCGCCGGATCATTACCTGAGATTCGAGCCAGGCAAACATTTAGCGGACGCTGTCGTCAAGTCCTAATCAATGCTTATTGTGATATTCAAAAGAGAGGCTGTGGGCAGAGTATTTGCCTCTTTGGTAGGCAAAGTTAGTTGGAAGAATCGAGGAATTTGGGCGGAAGAGTAGATCGGTCAAAGGAAAGAGCAAAGAAATTCCTTCACGAGCTGGGCCTCTAGTATTCGATATATGATTGTATTCAAAGTCATCTGTTGCCTGTGGCCGTTCGTTCCACCAGCCCAGACGACGGCGTCATGAACACCGATGTTGACGAAGGCATTTCATGCAAAGCAATAGTTCCCCTCTCTTCTTGCTGGCTCTGGGTTTGCCGCTCATTCTCCATGCGTTGCCTCCGAGTGCTAACCCTCGCCTTGACCCACGGCAGCAGATTGAAGTACCCGCCGCAGATGAAGACACCGGTCCAAAGAGCTAACTCTGTGCCATAGATGGCCATCCCAAGGACGTTGAGTTCCGTCTGAAAAAACACGGATACAAGAGAAAATAAATCGCCCGCAGCATCGATACCCACGAAAATGAAGCTGATACCTCGCACAGTACGGTGCGTGTAGATGTCCCAATAGTGGCGAAGAACACCCGCGGCAAGCAAGACTGCTGCAAGTACAGCCATCAACGTCGTGGGCCATGTTACATGCCTTTTAATCGCTGCCTTCAATGCAAATATTAAAGCAACTTCGATCCCTCCCATCAAAGTACACATCCCTACCAAAATGACTGCGCACTTTATAAGGCTCCAGTGCTTCCCGTAATAGTAGCATTGGCTCCATGTCAGTAAGCTTAAAAACGTCAAGATCTGAGCCTGTATCCGTAGCGCGATGTTGAAGCTTTCGGTTATGTTGTAGACGCCTAACGGTACCCCCGCTGAGGCCCAGAGGAGCATCATGGAGGGTTGCAGACCTGTGGTATGATGGCGGCGGTAGTTGATGATGATTTGGGGTATCAGCTAGGGCGGTTTGTCATTGTCTTGCTGGGGCATGCTGCGATTGCAGGACGTTGGTACCTGAACGGACCAGCAGATGGCACCAATGGTGCCGAGAATGTTGGCTGCGATTGGGACGTCCATCATACACTCAGTTTAACCCTCGTACGCATGATCCTTAGAATTCGCCTAGAAAAAAATGGTCAATCCACTGAGATATCTCCAAAACTATCAATACAACTAGCGGCATTAGCTGCGGCAAGATATCGCGGGTATTTTTGTAGGGCTGAAATCCACAAATGTAAACAACACGAAGTGACGGTTCTCATATGTTGCACACCGCTGTCTCACTTGTACAAGATCATTCTGCGATGCCCATCTTCATTATCTGACATTTGACGACCCCAACCTCGTTACCAAAATGTCCGAGATCGCCTCGCCCTCTCCATCGCCCCGTCCCGCCCAACACGTTCAATCCCAACTCCTCCCCTCCTCAATATTCTCAACTCCTTCCTTCAGCTCGACTCTCCCTTTCCCTCGACCCACATCGGCATCTGGCGCCTTTCGTCGCTCTTCGCTGTTGAAGAAGGGGCGTCTGGGGTCATCCCGGCATCGGCGACGCACGCGCTCAGTCGCATCGTCTGCGTCGCATTCGAGTGATGGAAGCTTAGGAGACTTCAGTATGGAGAATTACACAATCGATCTTGCGCAGTTGGGGAAGAAAGAAACGGCGGCACCTCCAGTGGGATTCGAACAGGCATTTCAGCGAGATCGAAGTGATAATGAGCAAAAACCTAAGCAGCCTCAAGAGCCAGCAGCTCAGACGCAGCAGGGAAAAACCGACGAGGAGGAGGCAGAGGATCTATTGGGTGACTACACGATTGATTTAGGAGGCCTGGGAGATAAGCCAAGTAGTATGGTGGTCGGAGACGTGGAGAAAGAGAGGGACGAGGTTAGTAGTGAGGATGAAGGGCCCGAAGATTTCACCGTGAATATGGAGAAGTGGATGAGAGGTGGCGAAAAATGGAAGAAGGAGCAACGTGACGAAACCCTTGACGAGGGTGACGAGGCGAACGAAGATCCGCAGGACTATACCCAGGAAGTCAGAGTAGACTGGGGGCCACCCGAAGAGAGTGTATTTGAGCCGCTTGGAACATCTACGCCTGCACCATTGAAGAATCATGCCATCATTGAAGAAGGTGTGCAAGAGGAAGCTAGACTTCAAGCTCCTCCACTGTCCCGGATGAATACCGAGATGCTCCAGGACCAGGCTGCAGAGGAAGTATTTGAGCGCATCTCGGCGCTGCAGGCGGAAGTGGAGAGAATGCGCGTTGAAGATGAGGAGCGTCGCTTGGCGTATCACGAAATCGAGCAAGAAAACGAATTACTCAGAAATGACAGAGTGGAATTACTAGAGCGTCATCAAGCCGAGGAAGAGTTGCTGAAAAAGCAGCACTCACAGCTAAGGGATCATTGGAAGGAGCAGCTCAGACTCAAGGAACAAGAACTGACCGCCCCTAATACTCCCAAAGTGGCGTCACTGAGGGCGAAGTTCGAGCCCGCAATCCAAGAGTTGGCCGCTGTCAAAGCAGACGCGGAGACCAATAAAATCGCAGCCAACGACATGATCAAGGCTCTTGAAGCACAGCTACATGCGGCTCGAGAGGATTTAAAAGAGCACCAAGACGCTAAGGCCTCTAGGAATGCAGCAGACGACAGGATTAAGGCTCTTGAAGAACAGCTACAGGCGGCCCGAGATGAGACGAGACGGTACCAGAATCAAATACCATTAATCCAGGAAGCCAACGCGGCTACCGTCAAAAGCCTGCGCGCAGACCTCGAGACCAAGAACAAAGAGATTGCGCTTGAGCGAAAAGAGTCCATCCACCGCGGCAACGAAGCGGCCTCGCTGACTGAGAGCATCGACCAAAAGGACCAAGAACTGCGAACGCTCAAAAGCGATCTCAAAGCCATGAAGATGGAACTCGACCATGCGCACGAGCAGCTTGCAGAGACACGACGTATCGTTGAGACAGTAGAACATGAGAATGACCGTCTAGTGCAGCAAAATGAACGGCAGGCCCGGGACATCGCGGACTTGGAAGAACGCATCAACAGCCAAGACGTTAATGAAGCAACCGCAGAGCCGGTCAATGAGAAGCGTGGTTACCCTGGAGCCGAACATATGGAGGCCAACAACATTGACGAAGCATCTCACAAAAATGCCCTCAAAAGAATCGAGCAACATGAGAGCATGCTTTCTTCGCTGAAAGCCACGCACGCCAAAGAGCTACGGACTCTGCGCTCCGCCCTTCTGAAGGCTGGTGAAGGCATGCAGAAGCGCGAAGCACGTCTCACAAACGCTCACAGCGAAGAGGTAGTCTCCCTGAACCAGCGGATTGAAACACTTCAAAACCAACAGACTGAACCCTCTAAGCTGGCTGATCCGTCTATGGAGAACGAACTTCGTTCTGCTGTTCGTGTGTTGAATACGAAACTCGAAAAGGCTAATGCTGCACTCATAGCCTCTAAAGCAGAGGCAGAGGAAGCGCAGCAGGCAGCTGAAGATGCACAGAAAACGAACGCCATCGTCAACGCTGAGCTAGAAGCACGTTTTGCAGAGGCGGTGGAGGACAGAGAGAGAGAATGGAGACGGAGGGTGCAAATCCTATTCCGAGAACGAGAGAAGATGGGTAAGGCGCTGATGTGGGGATGGGGAAGGGAAGAAGAGGGTGCGAAAGGGTCAATGGACCGAGAGCAACCGTATCGGTATAGGTTCGTGACGAAGTGACGATGTGCAATGTAGCAGATCCAAATCCAAAAATCTGCGTGAAACGTTTCGGAGGAATCTATTCTGCTTTTAAGACACCTCTTGAGCATACGTTGATTAAACACTCAAGACACCTGCCTATGACCGAACCACGAACTTCCTCAAGCCATAATCTTCAGCTCAGTCCATGGAAAAAACTTCGTTCCCACGACGCTACAAAGCTCCTCGTCTTCTCAACCACCAAATACCCAACTCTTCACTCGCCATCCTCGCCCCCTCAACCTTCGCCCTAATCTTCCTCATCGCCACCTCCCTCGCATAGTCCGGACTCCCACGCTTCGGCTTCGCATCAATACTAAAAGGACCAAATCCACAATCATCCGTCGCCCCCAACTGATCCTTTTCGATCCACCTACTCGCCTCCTCCAAATCCCCCGCCACCTGCTCCGGACTCTCCACCTCCGGATTCAGCGGGTTCGTCACCCCACCCCAATGAACGCAACTTGTTTCACGCCCTCGGCATCGCGACGGATGGATCGTCCGATGTGCTTGCAGATGCTCGGTTTATCCTTCCCGGACGCGAGCTGGATGAGGAAGTAGCCGGCGTCCATGGCGAAGAGGGAGGGGAGGAGGTTGCGGTAGGGGACCTCGTGGGAACGGACGGGGTCGCAGTCGCCGCCGGGGCGGGTGTGGATGCCGATGTTGGCGCGTTCGGGGGCGGAGAAGCGGGCCAGGACGCAGTCCTTGAGGTCGATGAAAGTGCGAAGAGCAACGAGGCGCCGGTCCAGGGGTTGCGGGGGTCGTTTTTGGACGCCAGATGGCCTTTGGTCGTCACGCGATTAGCCATTGTTTTTCATTCGCATGGATAAGCGGCGAGAGTGAGGTAGATCACTCAGCCTCGGCGAAGTCCATCGAGACCCTCTTCGCCCCAGTTTCAAAGTGACCCCCTGATGTCCTTCTCGCACCCCTCAACCAAATCCTTCACGGATCTCTCCCTCGGATACCCCTCCACCGTCCCGTCCCGTTCAACGGATCCAACAAGTACAGCATACTCGGCGCTATGACGGCCTACTCCATGCCACGGCCCTTTGCGTGCGGAGACGATTTCTCGAAATTCTCATACGCGTCGGTTTTGGTAGAGTACCTCAGAGGTCCGCTTCTGAGACGGGGCAACTGCCGGTGATGGCCGTCGTCGAAGATCGCCGGTGTCCATGGACGGATTCTTAGCGATACGGTAACAGTACCGGTCAGGCGAGGTGACTGAAAAGTTGGCAGTCGAAGAGGTGGAAGAGCCAAAAGGCCTCGATAAAAGCGACCTAGACGGAAATATCTTTGCTTCAACTGTATGCTCTCCGGGAACACATCGTGATTATCATTGTTATGAACGACAGAAGGTTTTCCGGGTTGACGCCCAACACCGATGTGGTAACAAAGTAAGGGATTTCGACGCCCCAGGTTGCCCTTTTTCTTCTTCCGACATCGTGCCTGCCATGCACCCTTGCTCCAATAAAGAACCGAGAAGAATCCAGGACAGGGGAAACGTACGAAATACTGCCCGTCTGCCCGCCAAATTATCCGCCAACCATGTCCCACCCAGCGTGTCAACGATTGGGCAGGTCGCGAACGAGCTGGCGCGCTGCTCGCCGTCTGTCACGAGGGTCTCGGCCGTCTGCGACATCTTGGCCACGGAGTCTTCGGCGGCTTCGTCCTGCGCTTTGACGAGCTCATCGCGGGTGATGGTGCCGGTGTCGTAGTCTGCGTAGGCTTGTTGGAGGTCCGGCTGTGGTTTTAGCGGTGGTTTATGAACTGGGAGAGAAGGACGTCAGGTTGGAGTAGATGCTGAGGTGGTGAGAACAAAGACTTGTACATTGTGGACGAGGCAGGGAGTCTACTACTTCGGTTGGGATGGGCATTTTGTTAGGGTGCGAGTTGTATTTGTTGGTGGAGGCTTGAAAAGATGCATAGCGTTGGATGACTGTCAATAACAATGAAGTATATGCTGGTAATTAGACCCTGCTTTTGGACTACTCATCGGAAGAAGCCACTTATCCTTCCAAATACAAATGATGACTGCGATTCTCGTGGCGCCAGAGCGAAAGGTCCTTGGCAGGCGCTGCATCGATACACAATTGCTGCTTTGCCTCCTCCAGATGCGTAGTCGATTGATGGTGGTGGCGCAGTGCGGAAGACTTCCACCGTTGTCGAAGAGAGACCACCCACTTCCATTTCTTCCAAGCTGCCCTGCCCATCTCCTTCTCCCTCCTTCTATTCTGCCTTGACTCTTCTGCTTTGGTGATGATGAGCATAAGACTGGCCTTCAACTCGTTCAAGTCCGCGACAGACTGCAGGATCTCCCGTGATTTGAAGTGCCACATTAAGCGTCCAAGCATGGAGAATTCGAAAGTGAGAGTGTTGTGAAGAATAACCGCAGTACCGCCGCTTTCGTCAACGGCATCAGGCAAGGCCACTCGTCCCATCTTTGCAAATGAAACGACGATAGGACGGAAGATTGTGTCACACTGCTGGACAATACGATGGATATTGCGACAGTCCTCGTCGGTGAAAAGGCGGTCACCTGAAGCTTTCAGGTCTTCATCCAATAGTGTCTGCAGTGCTGTCAGACCGCGGGCAAGTTTTCGGAGCTCGGCGGCGATGTGCTGAACCTTTTCGTCGGCGGTCCTCGCATTGTCGATTGCTTTTTTCAATAATTCAGCGAGCTGTATTGCTAGGCTGACGATCCCCGCGAAGTTGGCAATGATACCAATGACTACCAAGGCTTCCATAGCTCTAAATAGGCAGAGAGCATTTATTCTTTGAGTTTGTGTTGACTGTATTTACCAATTGTATACTGCTTGTCAATAACTCGACGATAACATGAAGCTGGGATTGGATACGGGGTCGGGAATTTATAAGACCTGAAGAGTATTGGAAATTGGAGGACATTGTGGAGAGAGAGTAGCATCAAGCAAAGACTACGCCACTCAGTACACGCAAACGTGGCGGTTCCAATAGAGAGTCATAGCAGTGATTAGCAGCCTCGAAGGCGCATTAACCGCTTTGTCGTCTAGAATAACCGGCTTTCTTGTCAGATCACCTACTGACACGGTGTGGGCACTGGACATGATTTCAGTTAGGGATGACTTTTTGCCGCTAACTCCGTGGTTGAGTGGCGATCCGGTGGTACTTTGCGGTTCGAGATTCTGGATTTGGCTCGCAAATTCAGGCCGTGTGGGTGGGTAAGCACGGCCTCAGCTGCTGCTCCACAGGCATCGATGCGGAACGATGCTACCATCAGTCCATCGGGCGCACTGCCAGAGAAAGTGGCAGTTGCAGTCGTAGCGAAGTCTTGAACATTGACCATATGAGCACGAAGTACGAGGATTATGAGCCATGAATAAATCTGTTTGGACTGTTTCTGTACGACCGTTAGATTTTCTTGCCTTTTTACCCATGAATGCGTCAAATCTGGCTAATTCCCATACCTAGGACTGCCACTTCTTCTGGCAACTTGCCTGGAATGTCTTCGTTGGCTTACCAAGAATCTACAAGAGCAGACAGAGATTACAATCTCAAGGGCGTATCAAGACCCACATAGATGGCAGAGATCAGTCCTACCTTCATCAGCCGAGCTTTGTGCGATATTACGCCGCACCAAGTCTCAAAGCTTAGAAGCTTCGATTTTGACCAATCCACCATTTTCCACCTGGTATTCTTTCCCTCTCTTCCAGCCTGTCCAACCTTTCAAGACCTCTTCACCACCGGCCCCAGGCGAGAGGTTGGGACTACTCCATGCCTCTGTTTGAGGTATGAGCAGACCCGGTGATCCCATGAGGCCAACCGCAGATCTCTGCTCATACCCTTGCTCCTCGAGCTCAATTTGTGAGAGTACGGGTGTGCAACATGCATCTTTTCCCGCAAAAAGGAGCTCCCATTCTTGCCGTGTATTCTCCAAGAAGCGTTCACGGAAAGTTTTCCTGAGGGTTGGCCACGTAGTGCGGTCGTTTCGCGTAGCCAGGAGCTCTTGTTCGATGTTCAGTCCCTTCAGAAATTCCCCGAAAAAACTATCCTCCAGAGCCCCCACAGCCATGTAACCTCCATTCTTACATTCATAGACCTCGTACCACGGACATCCACCATCCAACATATTCTCTCCCCTTGGCCTATCCCCCAGCGGTGTTTTTGTCAGAAATCTAGAGAATGTTCCCAAGTAGGCACTACCATCCACCATATTTGCTTCCACTATCTGGCCCTTTCCCGTCTGCGTCCGACTCACCAACGCAGCTAGGATACCAAAGGCGCACATCAGTCCTCCACCTGCGAAATCTGCAATTATATTGGCGGGAAAAGAGGGTGGCGCATTGGCTCGTCCGAGTTGGGAGAGGAGGCCCGAGACGGCGAGGTAATTGATGTCGTGTCCAGCCATTGGTGCGTAGGGGCCATCTCGGCGGAAGCCAGTGAGGCGGGCAATGATGAGGCGAGGGTTCACGATGAGCAAATCCTTTGGATGGAGACCAATTGACTCCAGCACTCCTGGGCGAAATGGGTCGATGAGGATATCGGCATGATTCAGTAGGGATCTGAGAAGGGCAAGGCCGTTGGGGGATTTGAGGTCTAAAGCTATCGAGGACTTGTGGCGACTAAGAGAATCAGACGTTGGAGGTGGAGGGTTCAGGGTATGAGCTTGAGGGTGAGCCCGATCAATGCGGAGAACAGAGGCGCCATAATCGGCGAGGAGAAGGCAGGCAAAAGGGCCTTGGGGCGCGGTTAGAAAGGAGGTTGGTGATGATACTGGATAGTTGGCAAGTACCTGGAGCCAAACCGGCGAGCTCAATGACTCGAAGGCCGGTTAAGGGTGGTGGAGAGGTTGCCATGAAGGTGGGTGGGGACAGCCTCTTGGGCGTTTTCACCGGCTCCTCTATTCTGGACTCTGGCACCAGGCTGCGGAAAGGCACGTGATTTGGTCTTGGCGCTTGGATAGGTTAGGCTGGAGACTCTGCACCATTCAGTCTCATCTTCTCTCTCTTCCTTTCACTGACCTTACAAGCTGTCGAACTCATAGTGGCTTCCCATCCTAGTAACCCATTTCATTCTTGTTCCTTAATCGAGACATCTTAGCTAACTTTGTGCCTTCTGGCTTGTTGCCTTTCTGTCAATCTTGAAAGCGTTGAAGCGATTTCTTTGACTCGTGCCGCAGCCTGGTCGTACGATCTACTTTTGCGGGAAAGCTTTGATGAAGCATTGTTGGTCACCGAAGAACCTTAGATGCAACCTCGCACGGGTCATTTAACACGCCTCACCTAAGACGGCCAAACTCAGCGTCAGATGGTTCCTCCTGATACGTTGGTGACAGAACCGCTGCAAAAGACCCCACAACGTTTCATCTGTGCAGAAGATCTGCCTATAAGCTTTCCTGAATGTTTATGGCCGCCCTACATCCAGTATTGCAAGTTATATCAGTCGAGCACTATGTCTCCCGTAAAGTTTTTGCTCCATCCTTGCTTTCTGAATCATCGCACTGTCTTCTTCCTGGCTAGACTGTTTCTTTCATCACTTTCAGAACGAAGACTACTATCTTCAGCCTTTTGGTCGCCGCAAGCTCGGCTACGCAAGCTCTTGCACAATTTGCTCAGACTCTTACCACTGATCCCGAGATCTCGGGAAACTATATCTATGTGTGGTCTCTAGGATCCACGTTTAGCGTTGCAGCGCCTGTCCCTTGTTCCCAACCTCGTTTCGGAAACGGCGGCCTAAGTCAGGCTCAGATATCCTATTTTGACCCGGATGAGGCCCACGAAGACAGACGTCGTGAAGTCGCCTGTGGGTGTGTCCATCATGACGGGTATTCAAACGCAGTGTCAAATGGTAAACAAGCCGGAGAGAACGTGCGAACTATAGCGAGGGGTGGCGGAAATGTCAATGTGCTCTCTGACATATCTTGGTCGAACTTCAAAATCATATTAGCTGGCAGAAACCCCCCCCCAGAAATCCTACAACAGTGCAGTCGACGACCCCGCGGCTGTCTCTGGATATCATACCAGGACGACTCTTTGCAGAGGGCGTGGCGTTCAGCGGCGATGAATTCCCGCCGCAACGGTTATCAATGGTGGAATGAACGCCAAGACTAGCTGCGCTCTACAGAGCTGGCAGACTTTCTCCGGGGCAGATGTGGAGTCCGTGAAGAGGCCGGGCACTTGGCCCAACACGGGGAAATGGCCTCTCCAGCCCGGAAGCGGGATCAGGATGGAGCAGGATTGGCTAGCTCACTCTCGGTTCGTTGAATTGTACGTTACCACAATCACAGGCACTCTACACCTGCATGGTAACGAATCATCCATAGTTGCATTAGATCTGTTCCATCATTCCCACAGCAGTAGTCCACTGAGGAGAGAATTTTCCGTATCGATCAGCATCCTAACAAACGCCTCTTCAGCCGCTGATGCCTTTGATGCGTCTACGGCCCGTGATGAAGGGCAAAGATGCTGAAGAGCTGGTATGTATGATTCTTCGACTCCTGAGACTTAAGACAGACTTGACTCAAATATCGTCCACACAGGTTTCGGATCTTGAAGAGGTAGCCCAAGATGCCCACAAGGTCAAAAGAAGAAGGGGAAAATGACGACGACGGTGAAACAACGACGACTTCAACGAGTTCAACAACCAGCACAACATCAACAAGCGAAAATTCTCAGACAGAAACTGCCATGTCAAGCAGATCCCCAAACGTCAGCGCCACGTTACAGTTCACTTTTCGATTCGATGCTCTGTTGGGCGCCATGTTTGGTTACGACATCAAGGTCATTCTGCACTTCAAGTTTGCTCGCTCGAGCTTTACAATACCGCGAATCCGCGCATTCGCCCAATCCCCCACTTCCCACGGTTCAAACCTTCGCACGATTCCGTAACGTGCTTCCTCACAAGGGATGAACTTTCTCTATCTACAAAACACACCGCAGCAGCTCTTCAGTTCACACACTTCGAGGTCCAGAACCCTGCAATTGATCTCCGTTCCCCGGAATAGACACATATCAAATCTCTAACCGCTTACTCTAGTTCTTCCACAACGATTGCTGGAAAAAGGTCCGTCACATGGAGTCAGCTCAGGAAAGAAAGTTATCCTGCATGCGCTTGAAAAACACACAGTATCAGAGGGAACGCCAGGCTCGGTCTTGAGCGAGCACTTTGTTCAAGTATCCTGCGCTAGTCTATCTACTTCAAACATCGATTAGAGAGCGATTGGCCGGCCAAGATGACAAGGGCACATGATACAAAAACCACTGCTACAGTACACAGCGCGCGATCCTTGCAGTACACGACAGTGCCATTGCGAAGATATTGGAAAGACGGTTTTGTTTCCCACAGCGAGCCCGAAATGTCACCAGCAGATGCCCTGTTTCAATACATCCAGACCATTCGCAGTCTCACCGGTCCAGCTGCCGAACGAGACCTTTCCAATAGAAGCCGGACACCGGTCGATTTCCTCACCAAAACGCGCAACAGTATCGTATTGATAAAGTGGTATTGAAACGTGAACGGCTACTTCGAGAAAAGGCTCGTACCAGAAGCACAAATCTGTTCAAGAAAGCAAACAAGCTGGCGCGGATGACCACCTCGAAAACATGAATAATTTTCCAATGTAACGACAGACGATGTAAAACAACGAAAGGATTGAACTCGCCTCCCCTCGCAAGAAGTCTAGGCGCGCATGACGGCCGATGCTCAAGACATGCCAAGTAAGAAACTGTCTTGATTCTCTAGCAAGAAGACGAGCACATCCTGACTGAGCCGAAGGGACTTTTCTTCTTCAATAAAGCCATCACCGGCCTCCACGGGCGAAAGGATTGTGGGTTGAAAGACTGCAGCAAGGCGCGCCGAGGTCATCTTGTTGATTTCCGCTTTTGAGGCGAAGACGGCCAGGAGATCCAACAGATACAGGAGTAGCTGTCGCGATAGAGGAGGCAGAAGTGTGATTTGCTTTTGATATTCAGAGATCGACGATTCCTGGTTGAAGGGTAACGTGGAAGGACCTCCTTGATGTGGTTTTAGCGGATCTTGGAAAGCTTCATACATCTCGACTGGGATGATTGACTCCGGAAGCCGCAGAAGATATCTTAGTAGGATTGCCGCCGCATCGTGTACTGTGTATCCGCTCCAGTCAAAGCCTTTCCCATAAAGTGGTGGCTCGTTGAAGGCGGCCTCAAGCTTCTGCAAACGGAGTGCAGAACCGCTAACGCAAAAGATATCCTCCACGTCGGTTGCTAGATAAAAATTATCAACACCCAATCGGACCCTTTGAATAGAAAGCAGAGTGGTAGCCGCGGCAAATTCTAGGGCAGGCAAAGGGCGAGTGGAGAACATACCTTCTTCCTTGAGGAAAACTCCAATCTTACCCACGAATGTCGGGACGTAGCCATATACGTAAGTCTCGCCTGTCACATTGGTGAAGGAAATAGCAACATTGGCAAATTTAATACTCTCGTACAGCGAGACACCCAATATGTGAATCTCTGGCTTCGACGAGATCTCCGGCTTGGAGATTTTCTTTCGCCGTTGACGCCAAACCGCAGAAGCAAACCCATCCCATTTATTAGGCTTCGGTATCGCAGCGACTGACCGGGTAGTTGGGCGCTGTCCCCAGTTTTCTAGAGGTTCCGGATCGAAATCTCCAAATGTATACCGGCGACTGTTACTGATCTCGTGGGCATAGATTGGTACTGCCAGGACTGAGATATTGGAGACATCAGTCAGACTAAGCGCAGATAATATAGATGAGGCCGTCGTCCTAGCAGCAGACGTCACGAGCGACTCCCCAGAGTCACTAAACAGGGGTTTGCGATATACACGAGATGCCAGCAGATCTTCTTCAAATGCGAAACCGAATTGATTTCGCTGCATCCCTTGCGGTAAGTTGACCAAAGGAGGAGTGGCTGTCCTACTCGATGTCGTGCTGGCATCGTCGTCGACTTTCGCTGCTGTTGGTGTAGCTGTGTCCGTAGTTTTATCGTCCAAATTCCTAAGACGCAGGCTCATCTCTTGGTTACTTGCCAGTACCTGCTGCACAAGGTCACACAAGTGTGTCATTGCAGATTCTGCCTCTTCCATAGACTTGCTATGCAGGGGTCAACACGAGTATTTAGAAGAATCCCACAACTTTGGTCATGAACAGGGATCGCAAACCATTGCAGAATAGTTAGCATCAGAGTCAACGAAGCTTTATTGCTCTGTAGTCTCCCCTGTACATCAGATATCTTCGATTCCTTCATGGCCCATCTCACACGGTCAAGCGTGCCCATTCCGGCGTCATTTTTTGAGGTACCGAGGGCGTCCTCGAGCTCGGAGAAGGTAGTCACGCACTCTGTCAAGGTCACAATGACTTGTTCCACCAGGATAAGGGAGGCTCGTGATTTTGATAGGCTCGCGGCGCCCAGGAGGTAGGTTTGTAAATGAGTGAGAATAGCGCTTAGGCCGTTGACTTCGTTAAGCACTGCCTGAGCAAGCTTCGGGGCTGCCCTTGTGCTTTGCACAAAGGATATCAACACGGACGAAACTTTGGCTGCTGCTCCCAGTACACCAATTATAGATGCTGATACAGAGAGTGGATCCATTAGGTCTGGACTCTTGAAGAGTCCAGGCCTTTCAACGTAGACTGAAGCAGGGGCTCATTCGTAGAAAGCGGCCTCATAAATACTGCACATAGATCAAAGTATGCGTACAATGGTGGACAGGCTTCAAGACCTCTCTGTGGATTGGCTCAAGGCTTCGGTTTTGGAGAGTGGCATATATGCTAGGAGGATGCAGATGACGATTGGCATTGAGCCTTTCCGAAGCCGAGGCGATCCCAGGTTCTGTTGATTTCGGGGTGTATAATGTATATATATTCACGATGTTGATAGAATGTACCGATCTGCTGCTTGCCGGCCTAGGCTCATGAAACCAATACCTCCACAGATAAGATAGCGCCGTCAGATGCTCTACAAGCTATTATTTGAACCTCTTTGACTTGTGATGTCTTTGCGAGAGTCCAAGAACAGTTTGTGCCGAGAGACATTTAGCACGAATACAACATAGGTAGGGTGGGGAACATGCATCGGTGCCTAGACATTTGCACGCGCTAAATCCTTATCGGAGTGAGCGTAATGCAGATAAGGATTCAGCCCTATGACTTTCCCATCACCCATCATCCACGTCAATGCCTCTTACCGTAAAGGTGTCTTTCCTCCAATGTTGTCTCATTCAAATGACATCTATCGTACTCGAGGCAGCCGCATTTTCACTTGAAAATCTTTCAACCTTTCTATCATACCGAAATTCCATCGTGCTTCTCCGATATCAGCAAGAGAGAGGAAGACTGTGCTATCTAAGCGCAATGCAGTGATTGGCACCAATGTATAGAGAGTACTGACGTATTTCAACCGAGCGTCAGCGAAGAAAGCAATACATACCCATTGATTCAGCTCAAATCTGAAGGAAACATACTCCTTTGTCTGATGTCTTTTCAAAGTCATAATAATGTCGTCCAATCCGTCACCAGAGAGCGTCGCCTCAGGCAACATCGCGGATCCTGGGATAGCACCCCGCCAAGTCGTCCAACGAGCAGATGGCACAGATGTCGAACTCGTCAGCTTTCCTCCGGGAGACCCTGAAAATCCGCGTAACTGGCCGACATGGCGGAAATGGTCCATCGTGATCGCGATCACGCTCATTGATCTCACCGTCAGCTTCACAGCGTCTGGGTTTTCGCCTGCAGCTGGGAAGTTTGCCAAGGACTTCGGGGTGTCAGGTGAAGTCGGAACGTTGGGATTGAGCCTGTGTGTATTAGGGTTTGCGTTAGGGCCGATGACTTTGGCGCCGCTGTCCGAGTATGAAATTTCCCATTCCCTTGTCGTACCAACAACAATGCACCGAAATCCTACTGAACAAGATTGTGCGCAGGTATTATGGACGATCTCCTATTTACATCATCTCCTACGGCGTCTTCCTGTTCTTTGTACTCGGTACCGCCCTCGTCCACAATCTGGGTGGCTTTCTAGTCCTGCGATTCCTATCTGGATGGTTCTCTGCTGTGACGATAGCCAACTTCGGAGGAACAATTGCGGACATATTTGAACCGCACGAAACAGGACCAGCTATGAGTCTTTTTTTGTGGGCCGCTACGGTAGGGTCTCCGTTAGGCTACTTCCTCTTCTCTTGCATTGCGCAGTACAAAGGTTGGAGAGATATTTTCTGGGCTCTGCTCGGAATATGTGGCGGCCTCTGGTTGATCATGACTGCGACGCTGAAGGAGACGAGACACAGTGTATTGCTTCTTCGGCGTGCAGCCCGTGAAAGAAAGCAAAGAGGTACAGATGCTATTGAAGTCCCAGATTCGATGAAGCAGAGAGGACCGCGGAAGTTGTTCAAGACAGCGCTCTTGAGACCGTTCAGGTTTCTCTTCACAGAAGCCATCATTTTCTTTGGAGCGTTATACAATGGCTATCTCTATGGGCTCAGCTTCCTTTTCAATGGTGCTTTCTCATTAGTGTTCGGGATGGGAGGCCATGGGTTCGATGTCCTTGGTGTTGGACTTACATTTCTCGGGATCGTCGTGGGCATCAGCATTGGCCCAATCACAAATATCTGGCAAGAACGATATTACCAGCGGAGAATTGCGCAGGTGGGCGGTAAGAACGTGCCAGAGGCACGTGTACAGTTGGGTCGAATAGCCGGAATTAGTGAGTGATCGTTTAACGTTCTAGTTGTCCCTTGCTAAAATAGCAGCCTTTCCTATATCGCTGTTTTGGTTCGCATGGACTTCTTACAAAAACGTACACTGGATTGTCCCGATAATAGCATCCGCGCTATGGGGATGGTCCTTCTATACCTTGATCTTGATGACGTACAACTACACTGAAGACTCATACAAAGCAAGTCAATTCCATCCTCGAGGCCCGATAGGCAACAAGGATTTTCTGACCGACATCTTCAGGTCTTCAGCGCCTCCGCACTCGCAGGCCTCGGCCTTGTCCGCAACGTAGCGGGTGCTGGCTTTCCGTTATTTGGACAGCAGATGTTTAGCTCTCTAGGAAATCAATGGGCTGCTAGTCTTCTTGCATTCTTGGCCGTACTTCTGGTCCCAATTCCTTTCATACTTGAAAGATATGGACGGGCGTTAAGATTCAGAAGCCCTTGGGCGAAGCAGCACATGGATGACTTGACGGAAGAGGAGGGATCTTGTATGCCTAAAGATCCCGGGAGCGAATCCTGAAGATGTCGTTGAGGCTCAGCAAAGCTGCTCCTTGGTAATCTAGGCTGTGAATGCACCTGACGCGCATCGCTGCTGTCGTAAGTCAATTTTTGATTGGGACTCGCGAAAATCGTGGATACAAGAAACTGGCTCTTCGCTTTGATAGGCATGTAATCTAACGCACTTACCAAGACATTTGGGCCGGATCACTAACACAGCTGTTCTCAATCACCGAAGTCATCAGATTTCTTTTGTGGCAAAAACGGTGGGGACATCCTGCCACAAACATACTGACCATGAACCTAGAGATTTGTTATAATTTTGCTGCCTTACTGGTGGCTTGCCGGGCCTCCTCAACCTCGAGGAAGGCTGCCCTGTGCCGCAGAGGACTTTGTGTGGGCGTGTCTATGCGATCTTGCGCGATACGATCAAAATCCAATTCTATCGTTTATGCGATGCTCCTCCTGTAAGAACACAGACCCAGGGCGTGGATCGTGCCGCTTCATCAGCCGCCGACGCGAAGACTTGAGCGCATGGTTGATTTAAGCAGCATTGAAAGTCCCCTGAGACTTCGACAAGCTCAATCTTTACCACAACGTCCCTCTCCTCAACTCTGCTCCCTCTGATCGAATGGCTGAAAAATCTCTTAGCGTGACAAAAGCCATTGGAAGTCCTTGCGTACAGTAGCGCAGTTCTCCGCTACTCAAGAAACGGGAGCAAGGAATAATGGCTGCATCTATCCTTTTATTAGTGATGGGAATTCTGCATTTCGCCCATGGCTTGGTCGAATATGTCGTCTATCCTGCTGATAAGAAGGCCGTGTTAGCATGCTCGCACATCAATGACGCACTTGTCAAGATACTCGGCGGCAGCAGAGTACGAATTTACAAGAGCCACATCAGACAAACTACGGAGTTCTGGTTCATCGAAGCCCTTGAAGCTCAAACAACGGCCATTTTGCAAATTCCAGGACTGCGTACCCTGTCTCACACTCAGCATAATTATAATGACAGCCTCTAGGTGGATGCCGTTATGGAAAACGTGATAGTCGCTTAGAACTCTGGAGAAAGCTTTAAACATACCTCGGTGTTCATGACTGCCAATAGCACAGGGTCAAATCAAGCGATTCCAGAGCTCAAACTACCTCTTCGAAGGCAACGGGACGCGCCTCAAGATTTAGATCTCGTGTCTTGGCCGCCTCGCAAACGACTTCCCGTCCTTGGCAAAATGCCATGCTACGTATACGACATTGCCAGGGGTATAGAGTCGTACATTTACATCATAGAAAATGGTATCAATAAGGATAACGATGCCAGAACCCAATCTTGACAACCACCGCATTATTCTCTAATATGCCTCTAGGAATTCAAATCGATGCCATGGCCGCCAGAGTCCGACGAGTGGCACTATGCCTACGGTGTCCATGACAGCACCACGGATGATAATCTAGCCGGACACGGGTCATGCGTAGCATCGAAAGCCGCTGGGTGGAAAACGGGTGTTTCGAAGAACTCCCAGTTGGTCGTGATGAAGTCCTTACCGACGCTAGCGGACGTGAACTTCGCTTTCGCCGCAGCCTTGGACGATACCATGGAGAAAGATCGTCAGGGCAGAGCCGTGGTCGTCTATCCCGCAACGTCGATACAGACATTCGGCGCTGGTTCCGTGTTGCCGAGGAACTGGAAATCGGTGAATGAGCTCATCCAGGAGCTTTTCGCCCAGGACGTTGTCGTAGTGACTGGATCCGGCAACAACGCCGCACGCTCTTCAGCATTGGACACGGTTCCAGCGATTTGGGGCTTGGAACCAGACTATCCCTTGATAGTCGCCGGGGCTGTAAGAATAGACGGGACAATCGCGAGATTCTCGCAGGGCGCGGCGACTTTGTCAGAGATCGTTTGGGCGCCAGGAGAGAGTATCGTTTGTGCCAATGGACCGTCATCCCCAGGCTTAGCGGTCAGAAGCGGTACTTCGTTCGCCGCTGCAATGGTAAGCACCGTCCTTGTGCGTCTGCCCAATTCAAAGATTATCGTCTTAACAAGGACCTACAGGTTGCAGGACTTGCCGCATACGAATTGACGGGACCCGACCCCCACCCTCCGGGATCAGTACCTAGCATCATCCGCACCAGGCTCCTTGCGAACAGTAGGCCGATTTCTCCGTTGACAAGACCCAAAGTCATCTGGAATGGACAGAACGGGGCGCTCAATGCACTGCTGAATAATTCGACCTCGCAATCTGCCCTTGTGCAGGAAATGCCGAACGCGACGCTCATTTCTGGCACTACGAATTTGACTGAGGGACAAGCGTCGGTAGCATGATGTTCTGGTGACCGAGGAGTCAACTCCAAGTAGTCCATTCAGGTAGCGAGGTGGTAAGTAGATCGGTATAATCGGAGCACTGGAGGGATGAGCAACGCGTGTGAAAAGCTTCAGACGAAAAAAGGAGTGATGATTTCTTTTTGAAGCACATCTTCTCCGTGAAAGTCAGGGAGTGGATCTGCTATCTCGAGTATGATATTCTGTCCATAACCCCAGCAATTCCGGCGGATCGGTCGTATATTCCACATGTATGGCGTCTTCTTCTGGTTCGGGCACGCGGGGGGGGGGGCTGATCACCTATTCCGGATGTCTCTTTCGCAGTGCTCCAAAGCGAGCCTGCAAACCGAAGGACAATGCTTAGAACTACTTCCTTTCGAGGTCCGATCCCCCTTTTACATGTCATGTCATCCTTCAATCTATCCAAGTCAAAGCCGTGCACTTCCTTTTCAGCACGACCCAGAATTCCATCTCTTCCAAACCTCGTTTCTAGCCCCGCATCTTTTCATCATCGGATACTTCAGAGTCCCAATATCCGCAGCTTTTCACAACGGCACCTCCCAGCATACCATTCTCCCTACACAATCCACATCGCACTGCCGCCCAAGCTTCAGTTTGGGCGCACTCCACAACAGAACTTCCCTCGTTCCTACGAACAATCTACAAACGCTCGCTCGCGTAGCAGTAATTTCTCCGATAGCAGCTAATTCACAACTTTTCATACCCTTGTCCACATCATCCTACTACCTCGCCCCCCCCTCCCCCTCCCATCTCCGACATCCAAGACCAACATGACTTCAAAACCACATCATGCCTCAATCGCCCAAAAAGACCAATCCCGAAGCAACCGGCAGGGTTTCAGACAGCCATGGAAGTGGCTTGCCAGAAAGATCAAACTCACTCACAACGTCAGCACCGTCAACCCAACTCACATCAACACAGAGCGATCGAAACAGTACCCGAACGGCGGGCAACGGACCATCCAACAGACCCCTCGGGGATCCATCAGATCACGGACCGCGTTCCCGTCTCCAGCTCTGCAGTACTAGTATCGCGCCGCGGGGGTTTTGTCCCGGTACGATGGATGTATGTATGTACGATGGATGGAACCTCGCGACCTCGACCTAAACCCCCCATCTCTTGCATCTCTCGAGTGCTGGCGCAAAGCTTGACTGATCGATATCCACCCACCAACCGCAATGCAATCACGTCCACCATGCACACAGGCGACCCAACTGACCCCCTATCCCCCGACCAGGCCCCCTCGGGCGAGTCGAGTGCGGAATCGTTTCGGTGTCTGGCTGACTTCCTTTCCCATCGTAGTGAATCAATTGATTGCGGGCTCTCTCCGGCTGATCTGTATCGGTTCGCGGTCTCTATTTCATCCTCGATCGTGCATGCGCTCGCGGCTTCGTATTCGGAAAAGATGTAAGAGATATGCCTAGCATCTCACTGTGCGCACCGCGTTCGTCTAGGCGGGTGTCGTGTGACGAGGCCAGCGCCTCTCTAGAGAGTAGGATGGGAGAGAGGTATCTATCTACCTTTTTTTTCTAAGCTCGGGTGTACGAGGCGGGTGTCCGAGTGTGAAAATTTCGCATTCGTGACGCGTATCAAAGCAACGGAGCGTGCTCGATGCTGACCTGTCGGCTCTGGGAAGAAAAAAAAGCCGCAACAGCGCACGCGATCGTTTTACCCGCCCGGTATTTGCCCCTCGACCCCTCGAATTTTCGACCGGGACTCTGTAATGGTATGAACAGAGGGAAGGGCAGCGAGCATGATTCTACTCGTCATCTTTCTTCTCGTACCCACCCACCTCTCCTTCGCCTTCCTCCCCCCGTCCAACTCCTCCCTCCCCCTCCTCCGCTTACCATCCCCACCCCCACCCCCGTCCCCCCCTCCCCCCACAACCTTTACGGCACTCCGCCCCCACACTCCGACCCTACACGACAAACCCTGGCCCTCCCCCCCCTACCGGCGCCCCATCAAGGACGGCCTCGCCATCACCATCACCGCGTACGGCGACTCCCTCGCCGCCAAGTACACCGCCTACATCCTGAAGGCCCTGCTCGCGATCCAGCGCGTCATCCGGAACGCCGGCGGCCCCCACGACGTGCTCGAGGAGACGACGACGGTGGGGAAGATCGCGGGCGCCGTCTACGCCGAGGTCGGCTTCTACGCCCTGCACGCGCCGGCCGGGATCGAGCGGGTGCAGGCGGCGGAGGTGCTGCAGAAGGTGTGGGAGCTCGTCTTTGAGTATTCCCCGGCGAAGGAGATCACGTCGTCGACGGTTGTGGCGGAGGGGAGGGAGTTGGTGCTGTTTAGGTTGAGCTTTCGTCGGATATGAGGAGAGGTGTGTGTGTGCTGAATGGAGGATGATGAGTTTGATGACCGGTTTCGAATCTGAGGCTGTGCGGGATTTGTTGGGTGACGAAGTACTAAGAGACAGGGCACGCGGTCTGAAGAGTAGGTAGAACATTCCATCACAGACGTTGACGAGGAGAGCAATTTGTCGAAAGGATTCTCAAAGCCCTCCGAGAGTGGGACTGCTGTATCTCTCGGAAACCGCAGATGATGTACCAGAGAAGAACATGCAAATTCCTACAGACACAATTTTCGCAGTGGTTCGGGTTGATACACGGCTCCGTTGGGTACTTGCTACAATCGAATCATAAAAATGTTGGATCTCAAGTCATTATCGCTGAAGAGAGAAATGATAGCGCCGACCCCAACCAAGTCTCGGACGACATCGTGCGTCATCATCTTCACGATAAGTAGACGAGAATACAATTCACTATTCTCGCTACCTGATGTGCGAGTCGTTGATCTGCGGAGAAGCTCCGAATGCTGTATATATTCTTTTCTATCCCACAAGGCCCTTTTGGAAATTGCGAGAACGTCGAGCAAGTCGAGACTGAGTGATGAGTTCTCCAATACTTGCCACTCTACAGACGCCAGACGAGAGAACGTCCTGCGAGGTGAATCTCAATGACGATGGGGATATGAAAAAGACATTAAGAGCCCTGATGCTTCAAGGATATATCATCCTGAAAGACGCGACCATGGTCGAGGAATGCTGGGAGGGCGCAGTGCAAGATCTGTCGAACCATCGGGTAAGGTCCAACTACACGGAATGAGCAGTCTTGCCTAACTGACGGTAAAATTAGCTTGTTCAGAAAATCATGACCGCTAACAACGAAGATGGGTTCGTTGTCCTTCACCACGAATGCTATTATATGGAAGCAGGGCAGCAGCCAATTCAGCACAACAATAGCGCCGCGCGAAGAGCCGAGCCTATGTTCCTCGCCTTCCATTTGGGAGGTCAAAAGGGTGTTACGAAATGGGTCATCACTTGCGACGAGGGTGAAAACGGTGAGATGACGGAGATCTATGTTCCAGTGGAGGCTGTGGCGGGCGACATTTTTCTCTGTAATGCTCGGCATGATCGGTCGGACCCAGCGCCTTGTATACCAAAAGATGCTTTGTGCAACTTGATAAGGATCCAGTATAAAGCGAAACCTTTCCCCTGAGAGGTAGGAACCATGCGCCAGGCTTGGATATTTCTAGGTGGAAGATCCAAGTGACTCTGCAATTCGGCTCTCTTCATACTCTGAACGTTACCCAGCTCATTTCTTCCTATGTCAAACGTATCGATGATATTGCTAGCATGGTTTTCCCCGATACCGTGAAGCTAGACCTATTGCTGCTCTCAAAATGGTCAACGCAGTATGTGCGCCAAGAAGTACCTGCAATGCATGTCATACTTTCATTATGGGAGATAGGGCTCAAAGTATTTCTTAAGTCAGAGGAGGTCAGCTCGACAGCTTCATGACTTAGATCGAGAAGGCTTCGTTGGCAAGCAGGATCCTTGAGTCGCAATATTTCGACGAAATGGCCCAGGGAAGAGTGGAACACATAAACCGAAACGCGATTCGTGGGCGAGGATCGCTTGAGCCTTTCTGAACAAGCTTAGCAAAGGTCAGCGCTGTCCCATTGCCCACCTCTGTCCCCACCCCTCGCCCCTCCCACCCAAAACGGTGTACCAGTTACGCATGAACGGCCAAAGCATGATCCAGGCGACAGGACTGACTAGGGTTGCGAACATGATGTTCCATTGAAGATCTCAGACATGCTCCGGAGCATCTATGAAGAATACGCGTTCCAAGGGAACGTCACTGCCTCGTCCAACTGCAGCTCTCCACAAGTCTTCTTCCTCCTTCAAAGCGCCAATGATTTCGATTCGCCGAGGATACTCTGCATAAGTCTGGTCGAAATCCAGGTTCTCTAGCAGTTCTTGCCCAAGCCAGCAACATCCTGAGAGGCACCGGCAATTGCTCAGATCAAGGCGGAGTAGGTCGAGATCATGCACACTAAAAGCGTGGATCTTGTCCGTCCAAACACATAAGAGGTCTCCAATGCTCTCATGGTGCAGAAGCTCCGCTTTCTCACTCCTGGAAAGGCGCTCGAAGTCGTCCCCGACGACATCGAGCCTGTTCTCAGCTTTCATCCGTTGGACCATAGCGGACGTGTTCTCCGCAACATCACGCATATCGAAGGCGCAATCGAGCTTCTTGACTGGGGGTATGGTTCTCATCGTCCGGTACGCCCAGTCATAGAATTGTCCCATCGCGCCAAAGGGTAGGTAAAAGATGTTCTTTCCCGAGCAGAGTACGGCTTCGGCTTCGTCTTGCATTCTGTGACTGACTTGAAGGAGCTCCCATGCCGGCGGCTCGTGGGTCCATTCCGGAAAGCGCGCCTCCACGCGGGGACTCCATCGCGGATACTCTTTATCCACGCAAAGGCTCAAAGCTACATGCCCCGGTGCTAAAGCCAAGTCCAGGATCTGACAGCGGATTTCCGTGGGCAGATCGAAGTAGCGGAAAGGTCCTCTTCAATCAAACCCGGAAGCGAGAGGATGGAATTTCCAGTCGGAGGAGTTCTGATCGGCCATTGTTCGCTTTGCAGGACCGGATGGTTGTTAGGTCTAAGCTCGTGAGGACGTCGCTTGAGCAATGTACAGTGACTGAACGAGAACTTGAGGTTTGAGCCCGGGACTACGCGGCTTGGAGACTCGAAGATCATGTCATTGCCATAATCCTCTACGTTCTTGTTAGGCTTTTACTGGCTTGAGTCGTTTGTTGCATGGTTGTTGTTGAAAGTGAGAGGAATCCATGTCGCGTCCGAAGAATTTGTACGTCGCTTAGCGCGGTTTGTATAAATTTCACAAAGTAATGCAACAGTCATACACAAGTCTCAACTCTCTAGAGCGTCTTGAACGGAGACTGTGGTTGAAAACATAATTCGATGATGCGTCTGCTTAGTTTGCGAGACGATCTGCTTATGTACCCTGCCGCTCTAACGGTGCTATATAGCAAGAAGTCTTGAAGCCTTGAATCCCTCCAGCCTCGTACAGATTCCTGTGCTGCCACAATCCAACGTTATATCCAGGCCTGTCTCGGCCGGGAGTTTCTCCAAAGTGGACCATCTCCTCCTCTAATTGACAACATCAATTCATTGAGAACCTAGAGTCCTCCGAAACCATGGGCCCGCGTATCGCCACTGAGATGGCTTCGGCGCCGGCCACATCAGGCTGTTAGCCGCGGAAGCGGTCCAGCATCGGTCACTGGTTTCCACTCTTGAATCCTCGATGGCGATAGACCGAACTGGAATACCTCCGCCTTCAAGATGAAAGATAGCCGGTCAAGTCTTCCGGCCCCTCTTGGCCATGGTGGATCGCGGCCTCGTCAACATATTGGTGGTGTCGATATCTTTTTCATATATACGATTCTCCCAGTTTGCCATCCTTTTTCTTCTGCCCAGGCATCGGGCTCCAACTCCCCATGCACCCTGGCATCTCCGGCTCATTACTGCAGTTGAACAGCGTCGGCCATAACCTCTCCACAGTGTGTCCAAAAAGCGGATTGTCAGGCAGGCTCTCCCCGAGCGTCTTTTTTAACCCTGCCGGCTCCTGCTCTTGGTGTATCCAATGACCCTCCGGCGCATCCACCAGACTGCCTATGTATTCATATATCCACCTTGGCCTCGCAATCACTTTTTCTTTCGCCACAATGAATTGCCCGAGCCAGGAGATTGACTGTCGCTCGGTGGAGTCGCAGACTTTGTTGTCGAAGAGGGTTTGGAGTTGAGGGAGGAGGGGAAAGTGGCCGGTTGGGCAGTCACCGCAGACGCAAAAGATGGGGTTGCCACCGTGTTGGAGGTTGAAGAATTTGGTTTCGTTGGTGAACTTGTAGCGGAGAGACTTGTCGAGCCAGTCGGTGAAAGGGCGGGAGGTGTTACCGGTGTCGTTGAGACCGGTGATTGCGGCTTGGCTGAACATGGTGTAGGGGTATATATGGTCGTAGGTCTTGTTGATGTGGTGCATGTATGTTCCTTGCTCTCTGCCGACATTCGGGAGGCGAATGACTTCTGCAGCATCCAAGAGTTCTTTGATCTGATCGAGGTTGGTGTGCTTGTTCTTTGTGTATACCGTGACGGTTGAACCGAGCTCTTTTACGAATGGCATCTCGCGCACTGCAGTGACCCAATCTTTCACTTTGGACAAGTTTTCATTATAGTGAGAGATGACCAGCTGAAACTGTGGCTGTTTTTGATGCTTCTGAGAAGGCAGGATCCATACGTGGATAAAAACGATGCAAGACAGAATGGCGAGGCCCACACGGGCGACAGGGGAACTAAGCCAAGGTATCATGATGGTGGCGGATGAGTTATATGTAGAAAGCGAAAAGACTCAATATATACGCGCAAAGCCATGAAGAGACAATGCGATTGATGAGAAGAATAGAGAACATTTAAAAGTGAAAGGTGGAATGAAAGGAGTGATGATTATTGATTACGACACCTCGCCCTCCAACATTATTCTGCAGCCGAGGAACCCCTGTTCTCTCCTGATTCCTGAAACGAGTGAAGTATTCCTACCAATCAAGTTTACCGTTTCGAGTTGCGGAGCCGCCAACCCTTCCCCTATTCTTGAGCCTAACAGGCCTGCTTCGTCTAAAGTCCCCCCCAGCCCACAGTCCAGGATTTTTCATGATACACAGCAGTATTTTCCTCATGGAAGTAAAAAAAACAAATTTCACGTAGACACACAGTATCAATGCGATACGAAGTGCAAGCAGAGTGTAGTACGTACGAAGGGTTGGCTGTCATTTCCAACTTTCCAACACGGGAGCAAGATTGGCTTCGACAGTGCCGCAAAGTTATCTCGGGAGACGTAATGCTGCGTGGACAAAGGTCAGGAATGATCATCTCTTTCGATCTAGCCTTCATGAGCCAAAAAGAATCCGAATGAAAGCGAATGCGAATGCGACGGCGACCACGAAGGAGTCCGAATGAAAGCGATTGCGACATTGCTTATCGAAGACCGATGGCTGAACTCTGAGAAGCCCCGGTGGTGCTGGGGGCGTTGTGCGGGGCAACTGGTAGCGATGAAGCTGACTCTCGCTGCCAGCCTGCGCTTCTGTCCTTCTCTCATCTCCATCTGCGAGATAGCTGCCGAAAGTTATCACGTTTAAGCTTGATTGGCTTGATGAAGGTGTGATGATGAAGTGAGGTTGTCTTACCTACATGGAAGAAGTAGGAATGCTGCAGGGCGCCCCGAACCCGTTGCATGCAGGGCCGCTGTCAAGATTGCTCCGGCATCAAATCTTTCTGACAGGACGGGCAGGTCCATCATTGAGGTTTGAACGACGGATTTTAATCCTCCTCGAACACATCTGTGTCATCTCTCTTTGCGTTGGCTTTATCATTCCAATCATCACCGCACACGCCTCGGAGCAGAACGCAGACGGTTCGGCTGGCCGAATCCTATCAGCCAGCTGCAGCGCTTTATCTAGTCGACTAGAAAATAGGTCCATCATGCGTTGTAGCTGGCTGGTGCTGATATTGCCATTGCTGTTTCTTTACGTTTAAGTGGAACTCTATCATCCTACCCGCATATTCGTGGAATAAAGCTTTTATGCTTCTCACTCAAGGCCAGCTAACCTTTCAATTCCTTGGAGCAGTCTCCCTTGCTGGAAGTAGTATCGTACATGCAAGACTACTATCTGCAAAGAAGGCCGCCTTAATGTATCCTAATCTTTTTGAAGGCGCAGGTTACAACCTGGATCGCTACTTGAGCTACCATGAAATCTACGACCCCTCATTCGACGACCTGGTCGATTTACATCACATCTCCCACGAGGGGCAATAGAGCCTCGCCCAAGACGTCGGCACCGGTCCTGCAATGGTCGCTGAAACCCTCACGAAGCGCCTCGACAGGGTCATACATAGCCAGCGACTTGAATCCCCAGCAAATATTCATCGCTCGCACACGACTCCATTCTTCGCCAATCTTCAGCATTGACGTCTTACAACGCCGAGCAGAGGATATAGCCGAGCAAAATAGCAGAGTCGATATGGTTACCGCCGCAGAATTCAAAACTTCTTATCCGTCCGAAAGAAAGCGGCAATTATCGGGAAAGGCGATTCTTCGCCCATTGGAGAAGACCAGGCCATACGGAGCAGTTTCACCTTCCCCGAATGATCCAGAGTATTAGAGTATTGTTGGTAAGAGAACGACGACGATTGGCGATGCAGTAGTTACCTTGATTGTCAAGACACTATCGTCGGTTGCGAGACTTGCGAAGAACTATTTACGCCGAACAGACCTCATGCCCAAATGTCTCTTGATGGTATCGAGACATTCACAAATTCGAGTGGCTCACACCACTAATCAAGAAGTTAGAGACGCGCTAACATATGATCAATGAAGCAACCATGAAGGCAGGTGGGATCTATCTATATGCAAACCAGCAAGCATGTGACGGAGACAGACTCTACTATGATGGCAGTGCCATGATCTTCCAAACTGGCTCATTACTAGCTCAAAGGTCGCAATTCAGCCTCAGCGACGTCGAAGTGATCACAGCGACCTGCGACATTGAAGGCACCAAAGGGGTCAAGTTTTCCGTTCCTCATTTCAACAAGTGACGCGCGCCATGCAATAACCTCGCATAGAAGTGGACTTTTCCTTTATTGTACCCCGTATCATTCCTCGGTAAGGAAATCTATCCGTCCAAACCGCAAGATCCGTTCTCTCATACGCCCGAAAGCGAAATCGCATTAGGCCCTGCATGTTGGCTATGGGATTCCCTGAGGCGTAGTCGACAGGCTAACTTCTTCCTTCCACTCTCCGGCAGCATGGCATCGACTCGGCAAACCCCGCCATGATTGTCTTCCCCATGTGCAGACTTGTAATTCAAGCCATCAAGGCCGAAACCCCAGCAAGTGATCGCGGATACACACACAGTCTGCGCGGATAACGACGGGCTGCCTCCCACGCCCGGCGGAGCTGTGCGGAAGATTGTTCCACACGTGTTGTATGTGGGGACCGAGAAGCACGGCTCGAAGGAGCCACGCCAAAGGGCGCGAAGTTTTTCCCAAAAGCGCTCAACCCCATCGTACAGATCTCAACATCGACACCACCGTCACCGCGGTGGACCAGCTCTACGCCACGCGTCCGAAGTGCGGCGGGGACCGTCGCGGAAGGGCCCGCGTCTACGTACATAACATACAGAAGGCGTCTCCGGATCGGTGTGTCACATTTCTCCGCGCGGATGCTTCCCAGCGTGGGAAGGAAGGCGGAAGGGGTGGCTCCGGGCTTGTGATCGGAAGCGCCAACGTTGACGAGCGGTCACGGGGGTACTGCGAGGAGTACGACCGTTCCGGCGCAGTTCGGGGTCGCGTAGGTTGGGTGAGCAAAACCGATCTATTTCGAACTTGTACAGCCCTGACGATGGTTGGTGCGACGAGCGCCCATTCTTGTATGCTGATCTCGGCTGGCCGTACAAGGGAACTGAAGAAGCGCTGAAGAATATGTGAGGGGGTAGGGGCTAATCAAAGCAGTGGAGATTGAGGAGATCAGAGAAGGGATTATTTTCTTATCGATAGTTTCATCCACAGAGCAGCCAAGTCAGACTCTTTGACGTACAGCTTGTAAAGCCATCTACTCCCCCTGCTCCCGTCGTGAATCCTCAGGCCATATTCCATCCTCGATCCTCGGCCTCCCCAGTTTCCCTCTCGTCTGAATACCAGGCGCATAAGCAATCCAATTCCCGTCTCTCGTACCGTGCTTCCCAATCTTATTTCCTCCCCTATCTTCCCTAGTCGTAAAAGCTTCATACAAAGCACCTCCTCCTCCTCCGCCCTGGGAAGCCTGGACGGGGATGCGAACCAGCCGGTCGCTAGATACGTCTTTGGAGCTCGTCGGTTCGGCTTTGCCTGTGTTGCCAAAGCGTCGATCGAACAGCTTGAGCACGCCCATTACGGAGGCGGCTTCGACGTCGAAGGCTGTAGTTGCGGAGGGGACGGTTGAGAGGTGAGGTATCCAAGTGGTTAGTTCAGAAGTTGCTTGGTCGAAGCCAGGGTGGCGGCTTAAGACTGTGAAGGCGTCGGCGCATTTGAGGGTGGAGCCTCGGGTTGTTGCTTGGTCGGTGGTATTGGTCGTTGCGGAAAAGAGTGGGTCAGGGTTTATAGGTCTGGTGACAGCGAGAGATTTGCAGAAGAGTGTGCTGGTTGGGTTGGAGCGGCATTGGGTGCAGGTTCCTGGGCCGTTGATGCAGGGGTTTGAGGTGCTGGTGTTGCTTGTTGCTGTTTCCGGTGGCGTAGGCAAGGTAGATGCTGGAGATTTGAGAGCGCGGTCTGGGCGCTCATTAGCTAGTTCGGCGCAGAGGCAGGTCGTGCCATCTGAACAGAAGCCGCAAGGGTCTGGCAGTACTGTCGCTGCTATGGAGGATGAGGTCGAGGCGGAGGTTGTAAGGTTCGGAGGGCGCCGGGTGGAGAATTGCGCTGTGAAGTCGATCTCCGAGCTGGTATCGGGGTTCGATAGTTGACGGCGCTTGTTGTCTGTGTGGGATTGGGGCGAATGCGGGCGTTTGAATCTTGGAACATCTGGCTCAGCTACCACGTTGTCCATGTCGAACGCCTCGTCTATGCACTGGCACTTTGTCTCCAAGCTACACTTGCCACAACCTATTGCACTAAGCTCCGTCGCTGTGGTGCAATCTTGAACTCCAGGTGCTGGCTCCGCCATGTATCCATTCTGTACAGGCCGCCTTGGTGGCAACGCAACAGCCCCCGTCCCATCTGCCATCCCCTTCCTCAGCATCTCAATTTCCATCTCCGCACTCTGCCGTAGCTGTCTTTCCCTTTCATAAGCGTCTTCCATCCCAACGTACTTTTCCCGCCAGTACATAAGCTTCTCAGTACAATCATCCAAACAATGCTCTAGCTGCTTGACGCAGGCCACCAACTTCTCCTGCTCTTTCTGATCTTCTTCGTCCCTCACCTTCATCTGATCTTCCAATTCGCTAACCTTAGCGGCTCTTCTTTCCCGAAAAGCGCGCTGAGCTTCTCTGTTCTGCGCTTTCCGTTTGGTAGGCGGCGTGTCGACTGCCGGCTTTCGGCCAGGCTTAGGTTTTGGTGGAAGGACCCATTCTTTGTTCATGGAGATCGTGGGCGGGTAAGATGTGCCTGGCATGGGTGCTAGAGGTTTGTTGGTTGTGGAGGATGCGGATGGGGTGAGAACGTGAGGGGAACTGGTTGCCATTGTTGGGGGAGCGGTGGTGGGGACGCGGATAGGTGGCATTCGGTAACGATGTGTGCTTGGAGAGGATGCTCTATGCTGGATGAAGCATCGAAATTATATAGCCACCGAGACGTCGTGAGTGTGGTAGATTAGGAGTACTTTTGTCGATTAAGAATTAGAGGGTACGTGATCTTATCAGCAGATCTGATAAAGCGAATGAGGTTAGAGTATTGCTATTCTAGTCCCTAAAAGCTTAAGGTAGTCGATCCGATGTCGCACAGTTTTTCCGCAATCCAGCACTGTCACTTTCGCACAACGCTCATGCTATATTATTGAGCTATAGAAAGTAGATACACGTATTTAAAGTACTCAGTAAGGTCAGTATCTCTTTAATTGGCTTTAGGGGACGCTTATATCTTTATAACTATATCGAATAAAGCTAGTTAATCTTAATAGAATTTTAAAAATTTTAATTTTAAAAAACCAAATTTTTTTTTAAAAATTTAAAAAAAAATATTTTAAAAAAAAAAAAAAAAAAACACAAAAAAAAAAAAAAAATTTAAATTTTTTTATTAAAAAAAAAAAAAAAAAAAAAAATAAAAAAATTTTTTAAAAAAAAAAAAAAAAAAAAAAAAAAAAAAAAAAAAAAAAAAAAAAAAAAAAAAAAAAAAAAAAAAAAAAAAAAAAAAAAAAAAAAAAAAAAAAAAAAAAAAAAAAAAAAAAAAAAAAAAAAAAAAAAAAAAAAAAAAAAAAAAAAAAAAAAAAAAAAAAAAAAAAAAAAAAAAAAAAAAAATTAAAAAAAAATAAAAAAAAAAAAAAAAAAAAAAAAAAAAAAAAAAAAAAAAAAAAAAAAAAAAAAAAAAAAAAAAAAAATAAAATAAAAAAAATATAAAAAAAAAAAATAAATTTAATATAGAATCGTAAAGAGTATATAATATAAGATTTTAAAGAGCTAAGTCGTGTTCTTAATGCTGGGAATCTTATTATCGCTTAATTTCTCCGTAGTATTCTCCGCATTTATCTATTATAGTTTCTTCTCTTACTTCTTAATATAGTAGAGATAATAGATTAAGTTATAGTAATATTCTCCGCTTATTAAATAATAATTTAATATAGAACTATAGAGAGTATATAATATGAAATCTTAGAGAGCTAAGCCGTGTTCTTAGTGCTAGAGATCTTATTACCGCTTAATTTCTCCGTAGTATTCTTCGTATTTACCTATTATAATTCCTTCTCTTACTTCTTCTCTTATAGAGTATTAGATTAAGTAGCTAACTAAGTAACTAGCTAAGTAACTAGCTAAATAACTAACTAAATAAATAACTAATATAATATAGAATCTTAAAAAGCTAAGCCGTATTCTTAACGATAGTAGTCTTATTACCGCTTAATTTCTTTATAATATTCTTCGCATTTGCCTATTATAATTCCTTCTCTTACTCCTTAATATAGTGGGGATAATAGATCAAGTTATAGTGATATTCTCCGCTTATTAAGTAATAATTTAATATAAAACAACTAAGTTATAGTAATGTTCTCCGCTTACTAAGTAATAATTTAATACGAAACCGTAGAGAGTATATAATGTGGGATCTTAAAGAGCTAAGCCGTGTTCTTAATGATAATAGCCTTATTACTATTTAGTTTCTCTATAATATTCTTCGCATTTACCTATTATAGTTCCTTCTCTTACTTCTTAATATAGTAGAGATAATAGACTAAGTTATAGTAGTATTCTCCGCTTACTAAGTAATAATTTAATGTGGAATCGTAGAGAGTATATAACGTTCGGACGCGTTTAGTATAACTATAATATTTGAATATTAATTTAACTCACCTATCGCTGACTTAAGAGAAGTATATAAGAAAGAATATATCCGTTTAGACTCTTTTTAAGAGTCTTTTAACGCGTTTATAAGTAGTAATAAATAGCTATTAAGCTCGCTTACGGCCTCGATTATTAGTAGTAACGAATTTACTAAGAAATAGTCTAAGAACGTCAGTAAGGGGCTCTAATTAGATGAGGAATACCGAAGACGATTATATTTATATTAATGAAATTAATAGAATTAGTAGAATTAATAAAATTGATAGAATAATAGAAGAATAATAATAAAAGAATAACAAATAGGTGGAAGGATTATTATCCGATCCCGGACGCGTCTGGTATAACTACTATAACTATTATATTTAAATATTTATTTAATCCACCAATAGTAGATTAAACTTTATTATTTTTACAGCGTTAGAAAGCGCAAACTAAGCTCTATAATTTACGAAATTATAAAGAAATAACATTCGTAGAGAGCTGATTATTTCAGAGTGTAACACTTCTACACACAAATTTTTAATAAGAGAGCTCGGGAGAGCTAGCGGGCTAACTTAGTTAGTCTAGCTAAAAGACGTAATAACCCCGAATTTATAATTAACTGCACATACAAATTCAAGGTTTTCAAGCTCAGCTCTACCTTATTCTATTATATATACTAATAGATAAAGATTAAAAATTATTAATAGATAAAGTAATTACTATCTTTAAGGCGGCGATAATATTTATAAAAAGAATAAATAATAAATTTAAAATCTAAATAGTCTTAGACGAAGTATATAAATTAGTTATTAACTTAAATAACTAAGATAGTAATATAAAGAAAAAGATTATATATATTAAGTATTAGGTAGCTAGCTTAGAAAGTAATATATCGATAATTAGCTACGCTAGTATATTAAATTAATTCTTAATATCTTTTTTTATTATTAAAAGAATCTTTATTATATTATTAGTAATATTAAAATAAGATTAAGTATTATATAATAAGCTAAATAAGATTATTATAAAGTTATAAGATAAGATAATAAGTAAAATATTAAAAGAGAAGATATCGAGTAAGATAATTATAATAATTAATAAATATATAAAAAGTATAAATATTATAAGGAAATTTATTAGAATAACTAGAAAGCTAGCGAATAATAATATATATATTATAATTATAAATAAGAAAAAGATAAATAGATTAAGAAAAAGTAAGAATTAAACTTTAAAGATAAGTAATTATAAGAATAAAAGTACTCGAAGCGAACTAATAGGCTCGCTTACGTCGCTTGCCAGGCTGTAAGCTACGTAGCTAGGGCGAGTATTTAATATACTTAGTAAAGTCTTAAATACTTATAAGTCCCCTTTTCTCTTCTTTTTTTTTAGTTATTAGTTTAATTAGTAATTAATCTATCTATTCTATTAACTACGTATCTAGATCTTATAATTATATAACTATTACATAGTTTTATTAAAAGAGATCTTACTATCTTATAGTTCTAATAACTCTATTTATATAAAGTTATTTAGTTTAATTATAATAAGTAACTCGCGAGTTAATTCTATTAACTTACGAAGTAGAAATATTTTATTATAATCTATTAGCGATATTTTTAATCTAGTAGATAACTCTTATTAGAATATACTTACTACGTAATTAAGCGATTATAATATTAATCTTAATATTAATAGAAATTCTAATAATACTATTAACGAAAATAATAATCGCTAAAGCGTTATATCTAATAACCCTCTATTTATAGACGAAGACTCTCGTCTTATAAACTTAAATTAAGTTTAACGCTATCGACTTCTAGAGCTTAATATTAAAAAGTAGTTAGTTATTAAAAAACTTAAGCTAATCGAAATATAAAATATATAAGAATATCGTCGTAAGTATAGCGATAATTACTATCGTAATTTAAATTATAAGAAGATAAGCGTTATTAAGATATCTAATACGTAGCACCTTAGTAACTATAGCTCGATAGTTATATTTCTTTAAGACTATAACGATTTTATCGCCTTAACGCCTCGTATTAATTTTCGTATGAATAAAGAAAAGACTCGCTAAGTTTTAGCCCTCTTAATGAATACTAAAAAGTAGATCTAAAGAAATATTAGAAATGCGATACTACATAATATCGAGAAATCTATCTGAAAGAAATATAAGGGATAATACTTAAATCAAGTTTATAATCTAGTTATTAAGTCTTATAACGTAGAATATCAGTTAATTAAAGTAATAATAAGAGATATATAATCGATAATTAGCTTTAATAACTATCTTATTATACTCTAGTCGTAGTAAGACCGCTATATAATTAATCTAGAACGTATAAAAGATCTATAAGATAGAGTAATAGAGAAAATTCCTTTAAAAGTTATAAAGGAGGCTACTTAATCTATTATCTATGCCACTATATTATAATAGTATTAGAGTATAAAGTAAAGGCTATAAAAAACGAAAAAGCTCTCTACTCTAGATAAGACTCGCTTTAGTAATAAGATAAGTAATTAGAAAAGTAGTAATTAATAGTATATTAAGTTTAAAGAATAGTATACGAAAAGCTAATAAGATTAAAAGAAAAATTTATCCTTATCGACGTCGTAAGGCTAAAAGTTTAAGCGAACTAAATTCGAAGATAGCGACTCTTATATTAAGCTAAAGATACTTCTTATTAAGATATAATACTATAATTATAAATAGCTAAGATATTATAAGAATTTCTCTAAGTATTTAAACTACGTTACGGGTAACGAAGTATATAATTATAAATTAAGTAAGGAAAAAGATAAAGTTTAATACTTATCGCTATAGTATTAAATACGCTATTAATTAAGCGATAACCTCGCTCTCTATTATTAAGAGGCGAAATTATTACGTTAAATAAAAAGCGTAAGATAATTATTCTAATAGATATCGATAGCGAGAAAATCTTTATATTATAATCTTTTATTAAAGAGATATAGATTTCTAAATCTAAATACGCGCTAATAATAATGCGTATTATTAACGATTATTAGATACTTTTATATAGGAAGTATAATCTAATCTTTAACCTCGCGAATAGTCGAGGAAAAAAGTAAGAGTAAATCTTAAAGGCGTATATTATAAATATATAAGAATATAACCTTATTCTTAATTTCCCTTAAATTTATAATATCGATTCGGATATTTATTAGCGCGAGCAGTTCTAGA